TTATAAACTTTAATTCACGTGGAGACCAGGTTACAACAACGTGGAGGAATACTTCTGAATCATCAGTGAATCCAAAATGACAGTCTTAGCCCTGCTGGATGAGGGCTCTAACCACATGAGTGTGACAGCAGAGGGAAAATATTTCAGAGGTTCCCTAATGTTCTGTCTCCCGGATGCCTCTTAAACTGACCCTTTTCCCCTGTCTTCCTGCCTCCGCGTGAGCCAAACTAGTCAAACCATTTCATCATCCCAGAGTGACTAATAACAAAGTCCCAGATCCTAAACACAGTCCAGAAGGGTCTAGATGTCCTGGGCTCATCTTACTTTTCCAACTTTTTAAAAAATAATATATTTTTAGTTTTGAGAGAGAGCGTGCGCATGCGCACACATGATGGGGGTGGGGGGCAGAGAGAAGGTGACAGACAATCCGAACAAGTTCTGCACTGTCTGCACAGATCCTGATGTGGGGCTTGAACCCACTAACCAAGAGATCATGACCTGAGCGGACGTACGACGCTCAACAGACTGAGCCACCCAGGTGCCCTCACCTTCCCTGCCTTTTACCCATCCTTTCCATCTCTGTGTTCCAGCCAGATGTGGTTCCTCAGAACTCCACAAATAAATCATTCACCCCCTGACTGTCATTTCTTTCTCTAACAGAGAAAAGAAAAAGGTCTGCCTACAAAGAAAAGAAAAAGAAAAGGATTCTGTCTAGAAAGCGTTTTCTCCTTTCCACCTAGATCACTGGTTCTCCAACAGGGGGATTTTTACCCCCCACCCCCACCCCCCAGGACATTTTGCAATATCTGGAGAAGGTTTTTTGATTCTTACAATTGGCATCTAATGGGTAGAAGCCAGGGGTGTTGCTAAACATCATACAATGCACAGGGCAACCCCTCCTCCCCATGACAAAATATTATCCAACCTAAAATATTTTAGTGCTAAGGTTGAGGAACAATCAGTTTTCGGAGCACCACTTAAATACCACTTCTTCCATGAAGCCCTCCCATGATACTTCATATTGGTTGAGGGTCCCTCCCCCTCACTATGCTCCCACTCTTCCCTTCTCCTTCTCAATCTTGGCACATGGGAGTATCTGAGATCATGTAACCTGTGCCTTCCCTGCCAGCTTCAAGACAGAGTGGAGGGTTTGGTTCACCACTGATCCCAGTGCCCTGTACACTGCCCGGTGCAGTTAGGGATTGCTTTTTGCCTAGCTGACCCTAGAACACAGAGAAAGGTGGTTTTCACAGGTGACGGGGCTTATGTGGGCTTTGGAGGGCTTCAAACACAGACCCACAGATACCCATGGTCAAGAGCACAGTCTGGGGATGCTGCCAGAAGTGGGTGAATATCATAAATCTACCACCTCCTAGTTGAGTGACTTTCAGTAGGTTACTTAATTTCTCTGGAATTGGGTTTCATCATCTGTAAAAGAAGCATAAAAATAGAACCTGTTTCATAGTTAACCGTGAAGATAAAAAGATGTAGTGTACATAAGGTACGGAGTGCCACCTCTGACATGTGGTAAGGGATTAACTACCGAGAGGAGGAAAGGGCCAAGGGATGATGTGACCCATTCTAGAAGTCCACTGCAGCCCCCAGGCCCTGGGTAGTGGGCCTAGAGACGTGGAAGGAACATCAGGAGACCGCTGGTCAACCTCTCCTTCTGAACTTTCTCCACTCCTTAGAGTGTGCCTACAAACGTCCCATCTTACCTCTCCCTGGGGCTGGTTATTTGAACCCCAAATAGCTCTCTACCCAGACTAGAGGGGTGCTTAAAATTCACCTAGAGGTAGGGCTGAAGGCAGCTTTCCAGACTGTCTCTTTCCCCCTCCCTCCTGGACCCTCTTAAGAGCTCTGGCCTGGCACCCCAGATTTCTGGTCTGGATCCCACCTCTCAGGCCAGCCTTTAGGATGGCAGCCCATTTAGACCCAACTCTAGATTTCTCCATCTTCCTGGGCTCCGCCTGTGGTGCCAGCAGGGGCCCCACCCGCTGTAGCCAGCCTGGCCCCACCTCCCACCAGGTCTGAACCCTGGTCCACAGCCAGGTATCACAGTTCCCACCAAATCTGCATCTGCAGGGGAATTTGCAACATTTGCACTGAACAATTCCCAGAATTTGATGGCCATCCTTCCTTTTGCCCCAGAGGAGGAGGAGGAGGAGGAGGAGGAGGAGGAGGAGGAGGAGGAGGATCTTTTCCATTTCCAAGCCTCTTTGCTCCCTTTCCCCAACACCCCACCCTCATTCGAGACCTTCAAAAACTGTTTTTAAAAGAAACAAAGGTCCACTTCCTACACTGCTCAGGTCAGCAAACAGAAGTGTCCATCTGAAGATGGACGGCTAGATGGAAAAAGGGGGGCCCCGCCCAGGCAGCGAGGATGCCAGATGAAGCATGTGGGAGCCCAGACAGTAAATCCTTTAGCTCTGGGAGCAGGTGTTGGAGCCGAGTCCCACACAGGTAGCCATGCACAGGAACCTCTTGAGAGAAGCCCCTCCCTGCCCACAGAGCCCTGTGAGTGCCGGGCAGACTCCCAACAGCTTGGGGTGAGGAGGGGTCCCTACAGCTGAGGGAGGAGAGGAGAGGGGGCTGGTGGCGTGAGCTGAGTGGGATGGATCCCTGGCCACCAGCACATCCTGGCTCTCTGTGACCAAAGCCACCCACTCCCCAGGGGCTAGCAGCCCTGTCACTTCTGTCGACTACTTTGGCTTTCTGCCCTGGGGCCTGTGAAACCTGATGGGTCAGTTTCTAGATCTGGGCTGATTCTCTGCCTCTTCCTGCTTCTCATACCTTCAACTTCAGAGACTGTGTGGTGCCCCTCCCCCTCAGCCTACAAGAAGGATGTGGGTTTTTTGGTTTTATTTTTGCCCAAAATGCCCAGTGAAAGGTCTGTTCTCCTAATCAGCAATTCTGATCCCTGGGAAGTTATTGAAAGGGTCAAAACAGCTGAAGTTAGACCCCTGAAGATTTGAATCAGGGACTTGCCTCTATCCCAAAGCGAGAACGGTTCCTCCCGTGGAGGAGAAATGGGAGCGCAAGGAGTGGAGGTCAGCCTTCTCCCACCACCGCCCAGTCTGGTTGTGGCGGGAAGACCACTTTCCTTTCCTACAACTCTTTTTATTCTGTTTTTTTTTTTCACTTCAGAGAGGCAGACAGGGGCCTTTCCCTGCCCCCTCCCCATTATTTGGTAATCCCTCCATCGTGCATAAGACAATCTTTGCTCAGTGCCTACTAAACATTTGAGTGACTGCGCGGAGCGGGAGATAGCTCAGTAGGGCTGGGGGGAGGGGGAGGCAAGGAGGCCACTGGGCACGCAAGGAAAGAGGGCATCACTCTCCGGGTTCTCACGAGCTTCCTGGCCCTGACCTTGGCCCTGTGGCCGATTACTGGTGAGAGGAAGCTTCAAGGAGAGATGGTTTACTCAAAGATGGCTGATAGAGAATAGAAATGGGCCCCACCGTGGGTACTTGCCAACCTCGGCAGGGACACATACCTCGCGGGGACACAAGACCTTGCAGGTCCAGAGGTGTGCTCTGTACTAGCTGGACACTGGCCCATCAGAAGGCCCCTGCTCCCGGGAACTGCAAAGACAGACTTGTATGAAAGAGAACTTGAAGAAAGTCTGAGGCAGTTGCCCTGGAAGGGGTGCAGGGTTGAAAATAATTGTAATAATATTAAACACTCTGGGTACTTATTGGGTGCCAAGCCCTGTGTTAAGTACTTTGTGTCCATTATTTTATAAAACCCCCTCAACAACTCAATAAAGAACTTGGGCTCTGGAGCTTCACCGCTTGGATTTAAATTTTAGCCTTGCCTCTTTCATGTTGTGTGACCTTGGGAAACGGCCTGATCTTTCTGGGCCTCAGCCTCCTTATCTGTAAAATGGGAATAGTAGTGGGACCTACCTCGTGGTATTCTGAGGATTATGTCAGGGAATACAAGCAGTGACGCAAGCATTCTGCTCACAAGGTGAGCACCGGACAAGTATTAGCCACAGTTAGTAATGTTATTGCCTCTTGGAGCTTATTCCTAGGGCCACCACGACAAAAGTCTCATAAACTGGTGGCTTGGACAGTGGGAATTTATTGTGTCATAGTTCTGGATCGAGGTGAGGGCTGTGAGGGAGAATCTGCCCCATGCTCCTCTCCTACCTTCTGGTGGCCTCAAGCATTCTTTGGCTAATAGATGGCCATGTTTGCCCTGTGTCACTTCACATCGTCTGACTTCTGTGTGCTTCTATCTCTGTGTCCAAACTTCCCCTTATCTTAGCGTGTTTGGGCTGCTATAACAATAGCATAGACTAGGCGGCTCGAACAACACAACTTTTTCCTCACAGTTCTGAAGGCTGGGAAGTCCAAGGTCAAGGTAATAGATTTGGTGTCTGGTGAGAATCTGCTTCCTAGTTCACAGATGGCCGTCTTCTCACTGTGTCCTCACATGGCAGAAGAGGCAAGGGAGCTCTCTAAGGTCTCCTATAAGAGTATGAGGTTGGAACCCTCATGACCTAGCCACCTCCCAAAGACCCCACCTCCAAATACCATCACACCAGGGACTAGTTTTCAACATATGAATTTGGGGGGGGGGAACATAGACATTCATTGTATACTGTGTTTTTTATAAAGACACCAGTCATATTGGATTAGGACCCATTCCAGTGACCTTACTTTAACTTGATTACCTTTTCTGTAAAGATCCCATTTCCAAATAAGGTCACATTCTGATGTCCTGGGAGTTAGGACTCCAATGTATCTTTTTGGAGAGGACACAATTCAACCCATAATACAAGTCCAAGTAACCCGCTCAAGATCACATAGCTTGCTGGTCATGAAACTGGGTCTGAGGACCTGGATTATTTGGTGACAAATCCCATGGCATACACCCCAGCATAAAGCCCCAACACTATTAACCTTTTCTGGGCAGGGAGAAAGAACCAAAGAGAGACATTTAGAGTCTGCTGTGTTGATAGCATTTTCCTTCCTTTCTGCCTTCCTCTGTAGCCTGCCTGCTCCAGGCTGAGCTGGTAAACTATGAGCGAGTCAAAGAGTATTGCCTCAAAGTCCTGAAGAAGGAAGGAGAAAACTTCAAGGCCCTTTACCGGTCCGGTGTGGCCTTCTACCACCTTGGAGACTATGACAAAGCACTCTACTACCTGAAAGAAGCAAGGACCCGACAGCCAACAGGTAAGGAAGGCGGCAATTGCTGGTTTCGTACCGTCAGCCTCTCTGGCAGCTCCTGGCCTTCTTATGGGGGTGCTCAGCTTTTGGGGCTGGCAGAGCCTGGTGTGAGCTAGGACCTGAAATGAGGAGAGTAAGCAGTCCCTGTGTTTGCCTGGGGTCTGGGTTCCAGGGAGCCTGAGCACCTCTTTCAAATACGATATGGAATTCTTTGGGTTTTCTTCCAACCCAGGACCCAGCTCTCTTCACTTACTCAATAAATACCTAGTATTATATTTAGTATGTGCCACGGTTTGTGCTGGGCACCAGGGATGTGGATGAGAAGGTGTAGTCCCACCTCGTGAGGCTCTCACACTCCAGTTAGTGCGACAGAATACGAATGGATGCTCTTGGCACTAAGCTCAGCATCTCCTAGGAAGCATGCTCTGACTTCTCTGGTCAGGTGCCGTTTCTTAGAACCTGCATTACCTGGACCACTCACTTAAATTTGTATCTACCAGCTCAGCCATTCATTCATTCCACAGATAGTTACTGAGCAGGTCCAGTGGATCAGGGAATATTTGAGGTGCTGGGTAGATAGCAGTGAAGAAAAGGAAGCTGCTTCCTTCAAGGAGTTTATGTTATAATGGAGGAAGATGGACAGTAAACAAATGGACAGATAGATAATGTAATATTTAGTAGTGGTGAGTGCTAGGAAGAAAATAAAGCAGAGTGAAAGAATTAGGAGGAAAGGGGCTGCTATTTTACGCCAGGTGGTCAGGAAGAGCCACTCTGAGGAGGTTAATGTGGCATTACCAAGTTTGCCTTGAGTTTGACTTGATGTTGCCATTGTTGTTCACATGGCTATTTTTTTTTTTTTTTAATGCAATTCTCCTTCCAAGAAGACTTAATTTAAGAACTTCAGGACCAGTTTGCCAGTATCCAAATATATATATTTTCCCATATTTTTTAAGAACACACATATCTTTATTTTTATGTGTTGATTTGTTTTCTATATATAAATTGTGTTCTATACTGTAGACTAAGGTAGACTTGAGGACTAAGAACCAGACTCATTTCACAGAATTTCTTGAACACCTCTATATGTCAGCACTGTTCTAGATGCCACAACTGGCATTTTTGAGTAGTAGACGACTACTTCATTTCTGCTGCCTGAAGTACTGTATCCTAGGCAGCCTGAAACCCTGGTCTTTTAAAAAAATTTTTTTTAAACATTATTCATTTTTCAGAGAGAGAGAGAGAGAGTGTGAGTGGGGGAGGGGCAGAGAAAGAGGGAGACACAGAATCTGAAGCAGGCTCCAGGCTCTGAGCTGTCAGCACATTGCCGGACACGGGGCTCGAACCCCCGAACCACGAGATCATGACCTGAGCCGAAGTTGGACGCTTAACGAACTGAGCCACCCAGGTGCCCCTGAAACCCTTGTCCTGCAGTGTGCCCAGAGCTAGGCTGCTCAATTCCTAGAATTGGGGAGAAATGCCCCATTTGTGGTGAGGTGGTGCCTGACCTTTCTTAGAAGGACAAATATAAGACAATGAATCAGACTCATTTTAAGCTCTTCAACTTAAAAAAAAAATTACATTCAGTTAATATTTATTGCTCATTGGATGAAGCACCTTTAGACTGATCTATTTTGGTCCTCATGGCAACTTTATGAAGAAGGTACTATGATCCCCAGGGGAGGCAGGCTGTGCAGTCAGACCCACCGCTTACCACGTGTCTCCTTGGGCATCTTAATCTCTCCAGGGCTCAGCTCTCCCTTCAGTCACTGTGAGGATGATGCCACGTCCTTAGGATGATTGTAATGATGGTTAAATAGATAATGAAGGGAGCGAGTGGGGCACAAAGCAGGCATTCAGAAATGGAGGCTGTTTCCTGCGGATGAGACGGGAGGCTCAGAGAAGTTGGTAACTTGCCCGAGGTTAAACGCCAGAGTCTCGACCAGCGGTGCTGAATCAGCACCAGCGTCTGCTGCTACCTAGGAGTAAGTGGAGGGAGGCTTCCGCTCTCACCTCCTTCCCGTCTGCCCCCTGGGTCCCAATGATCCGTCCACATTCTAGGGGTGGTGGAGAGGAGGGCGGACTCCTGGCCACCCCCTCAGGCTCCGTGATCTGCAGACACAGCTTTGACCTGATTCTGTGTAGACCTCCCTGATTCTGTGTAGTTCCCCCCACCATGCGTGCCCTGAAGCGTGTTTCTGTCCTCACAGACACCAACGTGATCCGGTACATCCAGCTGACGGAGATGAAGCTCAGCAGGTGTTCCCAGAGAGAGAAGGAAGCCATGTAACCAGAGCACCTCCCTAGAGCTGCACCTGCGCCACACCCGGGACTTCCAGGCAGCCCTCGGTGAAGAGCCCCTCGTGGGTGTCATTCCCTTCTCCCCACTTCTCCCGGCTCCCCCGCCTTCCTCCTACTGACCCTCCTCAACAATCAGTCTGCTCCCGGTGTGAAGAGAAGGAGGCATGCAGATTGGGAATCTGGTCGGTAGCCCGAAATGGAGATTCCCCTTCTCTGGTAGGTCAGCTACTGAGAGGGACCTCACTTCTTCGGGGACACAGCTGGAGAGGACTCTTACGGGCCGGGAATGCTGTTGCAGCTTTGACTTTGGCCAGCGCTTCTGATGGAGGCAGAGCCTGGTAGGTGTACCCTCCCAGGGGCAGCAGGCACGGAGCCCACGGGCTGGCCCCCTCCCCGCTTTCCCGACCCACCAGAGCATCTCCAGGCAACCGTGTCAAATCCAGGGGCGGGACAAACACCAGAAGCATTGGTGAGGCGGACAGACCGTGAATTTGTACACTGGATTCCCCACCCCGCCCCCCAGTAACCTCAGCCCCCGCCTGCCTCCCTCACTTGTTGTCTCGGCTTCCATCTCTCCCCCTTGGGGAGCTGAGACTCTGCCAGGTTTCACATGCCTCCGGAGCCCACGCTCAGTGCCCTCTGGTGACCACACATACCATCCGCCGTGTTCCCACGCAGCAGGCAGCTGTGACAGCAGAGGCGTAGGGTCAAGTGGGCCCGGGGCTGGCCGCCTAGGTGACGGGGCATCTGACGTCTAGGGGAAGGAGCGTTGTGTGGACTGGGGGATCGAACTGTGGACTGAGTGTAAATAAAAATAAATGAGCAGGCGGCAGCTCCTGTCATCTCTTTTGGAAGTAGCCCCCTCTCTCACTGTCACTCCCTCCCCCAACTCTCAGTCAGAGCTACTTCCAGCCAGGCGGGACGGGACTTCCCCCACAGCAGCGGGCGTTTGTCCGGTGGTAAACAATGCTGGCTGCCGCCTTTGTGCGGCGGAGTGGGCCGGTGTCGCGGAGACTGCCCGGGGACTTGGCTTTGCGGGAACTTGCATGGCCTCCTTTTGATGAAATTATCCGGACTCAATATCTAGCACATAGAATGTGTTCAACAAATATTTGTTGAATGAATAAATTATGACTGCAGACTGGCTCTCCTGCCTTAAACTAATTTTATCCCAGCCTAGTCTCCTGATATCTATGCTCTTTACGCTCCGCCATGTTGCTTCAGTCAAATAAGAAACATTTTTACTGAGGGCTTATTGTTTACCTATCGTCATCGTGCAATACGCTGTGGGACATAGGATGTAGTCCCGGTCCTTAAGGAGGCGGAATAGTTGAGAAATACTCATGTGGGATGATCACCAATGACACCTTTAATTTATACGATGCTTTAAATTTTTCAAAGCACTTTCGTGTATTTTTTGTGTGATTAGTGAGACAATATTGTACAAATTAAAATATATACAGATGCAATAATGTTAATAGTTAGCATTTATTAAATGCACTATCCTCGGATCTTTACATGTATAATCTCATTTCTTTCATGCAACTACTCCATGAGATACTATTTCCATTAGATGGATAAGGAAACTGAAAACCAGACACAGTAACTATCCCAACGTTACATGGATGGCCTCAAGTGGCATAGCTAGGATTTGAACCAGGTCTGTCTGACTCCAGAGCTCCAGCTATTAACTAGTCTATAGTTGGTAGTAGCTGCTCTAGGAAGCATTTTTATTGAGCGATTACAACCATTCGAGAGCAGGACAGTATGTATTAAGTTGAAAAGCCTTGCCTATGCCAATGGTAGAGTGGGCTGCCTCTTGTATTTAGCTCAAGGTTAAAAAAAGGTCCTTAACACTAGACTCCCTAGTGGTCAGGGCAGTGACGGGCCAGGAGAAGACAGCTGAGACCTAGCAGTTATTTCTGTGTATTGTTCGTTCTATTTTCTGACGTCAGCGCATATCCAAAGCCACCTAGCATTCCCCCAGCATTGGGGAAGATTCACAATTATAGGTAGAGATGGAAAGGAAACGCAAAGTTAATTGTGGGTTCTTTGTGTAATCAGAGGCTCCACCACACCAGGATCCAATCACTGCTGAGGGGCCCAGAAGGCAGCAGCCCAGGATGCGTTCACACACAGCTCCTGAAAGGCTTCTGGTGGGGGTTGGAGAAGGTGCTAAGAACCTCTAGGGGTTCGCAGTTGCTTGCCTGTAGCTCACCTCCGGGGAGGAGGAGAAGCTGCCACCTTCTCCCCCACGCCTACTGTATACTTGCCTCTGCCCTCCTCTTCCGGGATGGTTTCACATGTTCCTGACTCAGAGCCATCCCGAGGCATACGCAATACAGGCACATGTGTAAAACTCCTCTGTTCCCAAGTCTCCAGCCCAGAAGGCTTGTGAGCTGGCAAACTGCCAGGTTGAGGATGCGGTCAGAGGTGGACCGCAGAACCAGTTCCTACCAGCACAGCCGTCCTTTGCTCCTTCGTGTCATCAGGAAGGACTTGAACTAACTGCTCCCAACATGGAGCGGGACAGAGCGTCTTGCCTCGAGTAAGTTGGGGCAGGGCTGGACACGTGGGGAGAAGATGGTTGCCATCCTTGTAAAGAGAAAGGTTGAAAACTAGAACCAGGTGAGGACAGCCTGGTGCGACCTCACAGAACAAGCATACAGGTCTCTGCTTGTCTGGTGATACACACGTGCTTCCTGGAGTCCACTCACTGTGACCCAAAGCTAAGTGATCCCAAAGCAAAAAGTTGCCTTGGGGGTGCTGTTTGATGTTTGGGGGGAGGGATTGAATTTGCTGTGCGTTTGTCCGACAGAGACTTCAGAGAGCTAGTAAGCAAAATCAGGTCTATTCACCTTAGCAGACCTTCAGCTTCTTTCTCCCATCCCTCCCCAAAACAGGGGCTGTGATCACATGCTTTATTTGCAGATGTCCCTGAACTAGACCTGGAGCATTAAACTTGGATCTGACCTGCCTTGTCATCTCCTGCCTGGACTTTTGTGATAGACTCTTGGGGGGTTGGGGAGTGGATTGTACTTTTCATGTTATTGCTAGGAAAGCGTCACGTGTGTATTGTAGAAATTTTCGGGGGGAAAAAGACAAACCCGTCATCCTAGCACCCAAGACAAACATTGCCTCCCTTTGGAATCATCTTTCAGTTCTTTTTTGTGTAAACGTACATGTGCACATGCAGGGTTGGTTTTTTTTTTTTAAACAAAAATTGGAGTACACTGTATATACTCTTTAGTAACTTACTTTTCAAAATGTGTATTTCTATTTCAGAATATGTAATACATGCACAGATACAAAATTCAAAAAGGATAGAAAGCTCTACAGTAAGAAGTAAATCTCCTTTCCATCCTGACTGCTGGCATCTAGTTTCCCTCCAATTACTTGTACTGTATATCTTTCCAAAAACACTTATGCATTTTCAAATATATGTGTATATATTCTTTTGTCACACACAAATAGTAGCATATCAGACACACTGTTTTGCACCTTGCGCTCCTTCACTTCCTGGACCACGAACGGAACATTTTTCGCGTGTCTCTCAAACTTTTTCCACAGGATCCTCATTACATGGATGGGCTCTCATTTGGTAACCAATCTCCTAAGAGCGATTTTTTCATTTGTTCTCAACCTTGATTGTAAATAATGTTGCAGTAGACCTTCTTGTAGCTAAATTTTGCACACGCCGGTGACCATTTCCTTGGAATAAAATCCAAGAAGGAAATTGCTTGACCATCTTTAAGAATTTTGTTATATGTTGCCAACCACCCTCCAGAAAGTTTGTACTAAACGTTGCACTCCTCTATTTGCAGGGTTGACAGTGCCCTGTTCCCCACCCCCTCACTAATAGTGGGTACTGTCATTTATCAAACCTTTCCCATTTCGGTAGGAAAATAATCATATGTCAATGTTATTTGAACTCATGCTTCTTAAATTATTAGTGAATAACATCTTCAAATGCCTACTGACCATTTGTACTTGTTTCTTTGTGATTTTTCTATTTATTTGATAGTGCTATGTTTCTCTTTGTTACCAATGTGTACTTTTATTAAGAACATTATTTTTGTCAAGAAACATGGCAAATAGGCTTTCCAAGTGCTTTGCTTTCAAATTTTGTTTATGGTGCTTTTTGACACACATAAATTCTTAATTCTGCAACTAATTTGTTTCTCTGTTGCCACCTCCTTCTGCCTGCGGTCCACCCTGTCGATTCTGTGAGAGTTCCCCTTCTAGAACACAATCTGATTATGTCATTCCACAGCTTAAAAATCTTTAGCACCGCACACAAGTTTCCCCATGCAATTTCTCCCACAGACTCTTCCAGGCTCCACTCCTGGTCCTCTTCCAAAAGTATCCTACGTTCCACTGTCTCACAGCTCCTTGTGATTCCCCAAACTCACGGCTCTGCGTCTCTGGGCCTATCCATGCTGTTCCTTCTGTCTAGCTGGCCATGCCTCGGTCCTCCAATCCCCTCTTTGCCTTGCAAACTCCGATAGGACTCGACCAAGGCATCACTGCTCGAAAGCTTTCCTTGACTCTGTGGTCTATACTTCTAAAGCAACATGAGCCTACCTGTGCCTGGCGTTTGCTACAAGAAATTGGAACTTCCTACTGATGTTTGTCTCGCCACTACCTGGATGTTCCCCAAGGCAGGGCTATGGTTTATTCATCTTTGCAGCCGGAATGCTGAGCACAATGCCTGGCACACAGTAAGTGCTCGATAAATACTAAGCCCTGAACCTAGAATGAATGGTTAATGGGTTCAGTGGCAAATGTTACTTGGAGTAAATGCAGGCCTGGACTGGATCTGTGCTTTCGAGAACTGAGGGACTCTAGGAGGCTCAGGTTGGAGGAAAAGTCACATGTTCCAGTGCTGTGCTTTCCAAAACATCAGAATCACTTGAAGTCACTTTTTAAAAATACATAATCTCAAGCCTCTGCCTTAGACCCATTGAGTCAGATTCCTGGGGATAATACTCAGGATACTATAGGGTTTTTTTTTTTTTTTTTAACGTCCTGAAGTGCTTCTAATGACCAGCCAGGTGAAGGAGTGCTACGAGGTAGACCAGCAGACAAATCAGAGCACCCAGCTCCACCATTTCCAACCGTGTGATCTCTTGTAGTGGGCGCATGGAGCTTTGTTTGAATTCCCGTTTTGACATCCACTAGCTGTGTGACCTTGGGGGCAGTTGCTTGACTTTTCTGATCTTCATTTTCCTCCCCTTATATAATTATCCCATTATATATGGGGTATGGTAATAATTTCTTATCCCTTAAAAGGTTATCAGTAGGAGAGAAACAAGTGTCTCCTAGCTCAGTGACCGGTACAGGATAGGCATGGAATAAATATTCATTTCTTTCCCTCCACCTTGTGAGACCCAGTTTCCCCAGTTATGGTACAGCTAATACCTATATGTTCATCCTCCATTTTCCCACACTGCACTCTAGAAGGAAGGAACTTCCAATAGGCCCTTAGATTACTCTAATTAAACAGGACACATACTTGGTTGGGGTAGGGAGTGGGGGAGAGGGCAGAGGAAGCCACATGCATTCTCACACGCCCTCTCCCAAAATATCAGAGACTGCTCAGCAATCAGTTGGAATAATTCTGCTGGCTTTCAGAACCAAGTATCTTCCAGTCACATCCAAAGATGGAGAGTTTTCTCTTGTGGTTCTACCCAGAGGCTAGTCGCTTCTGGGCTGTAAGAGAACGGCGACGATCAGGAAAGAGAGTAGTCCCTGCCAGTTTTCTTCCAACGCCCTAGGCTCTTACTCACATGCCTCAGGGCCGGAGAGACAAAAGCGGCTGTGAGGCGGAAGTAGCTGATCTGCAGCCTTTCTGGTGAAGGTGCCCCTGCATCTTTACCTACTTGCCCTCTCCCACCCCACCCTCCTCCCACCCTGGGCAGGCTGCACCGACAGGGAAAATGCATTCAGCCCATCAGGCATGACAGAGTTCAAATTACCAAGTCAGCATGAAAAGTCCCACTCTAAATGGACTGAAATTGGATTCTATTAAAAACCACACTCAGTGAGGCCCTTGGCTATTAATATTTGCTAAGACATGGAAAAGGGGGAGGAGGCAAAGGCCCTTGCAAAAGGTTGGGGAATCTCAGCTGTTCAACTGAATTGCTTGTCTCGAGCCAGCCTGTAACTGAAAGCCAGTTTGCCCTGTTTTCAACATCTCACAGAATATTAGGGTTGGGAGGAATCTTAAATCTCATGAGTTTAACCTTTCATCTGACAGCCGAGGGATTAAGTCCAGTGAAGGCAAGTGACTATTCAAGGTCACACAGCTAGTCAGTAGCAAAGCCAAAACTGGAACTAGGTCAGTTTTCTGACCATAAATTTAATATTCTGTCCACTGAACCAAAATACACTTATATTGACAGCACCTGTCTTTAGGTAAAAAAAAAAAAAGAAAGTAATGCTATAAAATTATTCTCCTCTGGGGGCACCTGAGTGGCTCAGTGGGTTAAGTGTCTGACTCTTGATTTCGACTCAGGTCATAATCTTATGGTTCATGAGACTGAGCCCCACGTCGGGCTCTGCACTGGCAGCATAGAGCCTGCTTGGGATTCTCTCTCTCCCCCTCTTTCTGCCCCTTTCCCCCTCAGCATAACTAAACTTAAAAAAACAAAACTTAAAGAAAAACTTTTAATCTTTTAAATAAACTTAAAAAAAAACCATCTTTCTCTTCTAAAGAAACAAGGAATATAGTACACATTCATCCATCCATTCCCTCACTCAATAGTTCTCATTCCAGTGACTTCATTTTAGTGGTTCAATGATTAACAAGGTTATGTTCTCTGCCTGAGAAACTTAAAGGTTGTAGAGAAGAAAGAAAAATAAACAGGCAACTTCAAATCTGTGTAATAAATGTTACAAAACACCAAGGACATACATGGAAGGGGCATCTACACGGATCCTGGAAGATTAGTGAAGATTTTCCTTAGTGGGTACCAACTGGTGGAGGAGAACTGGTGAGAGATGAGTAAACTTCAGGGTCAATGGCAAAGTTCTATTGCTCCTTTTCTTGGATATAATATGAAGGAATTTGAGACAGTCATCATGAGCTATCTTTTTTTATCCTTTTCCTGATTTTTCAAGCCTGGGCTCAGGCAATGTCACTTTTACCACCTGTGTAGGACCATGGGCTGAGAAGTCACAGAAGACCTTGTAGGTTTAACTGCCTAAATTCCCCTCCATGTAGAATAGAGATAAGTGGCTACACGTGTTGTTTCTGAGTGCAACCAGAAGCTCTTCCAGACTGGTGATTTCCATAAGGGGCAAAAATTCTACACCCAGTTTCACAAACGTACCTCCAGAGTCATGTTTCATGTTCCTTTGTTTTCTCTAATCTCTGCCTCTTTATTCAAGAACAGCACTGTCTATTTGAAATGTGTGCCACCTACGTAATTTTAAGTTCTCTAGAAGCCACACTTAAAAAAATAAATGCTAACAGAAGAATACTTTTAGTAATATATCCTAAATAAAAACAAAGTTAAGAAAATAACCAGAAATAATAAAATACTGAGGAATAAATTTAACAAAAGCGTGAAGCTTAAACTCTAAAGACCACAAAACGTTACTGAAAGAAATTAAAGAAGACTTAAATAAATGGAAAGGTAGCCCATGTTCATGAATTGGAAGATTTCATATTGTTAAGGTGTTAATATGTTAATACTTCCCAAACTAATCTATAGATGCAACATAATCTTTATCAATACCCCGAATGACCTCTTTGTAGAAATCTACAAACTGATCTTAAACTTCATATGGAAACTCAAGGGACCCAAAAGAGCCAAAACAATCTTAAAAAAGAAGAGCAAAGTTGGGGGACCCACAATTCCAGATTTTAAAACTTACAACAAAACTACAGTAATCAAGACTGTGTGGTGCTAGCATAAAGGTAGACAAGAAATCAATAGAATAGAAATGATAGTCCAGAAATAAGCCTTTACATTTATGGCAGACTGATTTTCAACAAGAAAACTAAGACATTTCAGTGGAGGAAAAAGAGTCTTTTCAATAAATGATGCTGAGACCAGTGGACAACCATATGCCAAAGAATGAAGCTGGACCACTACCTTACATTATATACACACAAAAATTTACTCAAATGGATTAAAAACCTAAATTCAAGTGCTAAAAGCTTAAAACTCTTAGAAGAGAATGTAGGTGTAAATATTTATGATCTGTGATTAGGCGATGTTTTCCCGGACATGAAACCAAAAGCACAGACAATAAAAGAAAAAATAGATAAAATGAACTTTTATCAATTAACATTAAAAACTTTCATGCTTCAAAGGACACCAGCAAGCAAAATGACAACTCACAGAATGGGAGAGACTC